ATTAATTTCTTAATTTATTAACATTTTATATATACAAATTGATTTTTTAATTAATTAACATTCTTCTTATTCATATATTATATTTTGAATAAACATTTAAATAAGCAATAAGTAATATTTTTTAAGATTATTTTTAATTTAAAGATTATATAATCTTAACAACAAACATCTATATCAAAATCATTAAAAGAATAGAAGATTTCCTAAAATAAACATTTGTTATTTTTAATTTTAATTTTTGAATTTCTTTTAAAAATTCTGTTTAATTCTGTTGCGTGGATTAATATATTATTGTAAATGATATAATTTTATGTCAAAAACTCCAGAAACTTCATTATCACGATGCTGTTCGTGAATTCAAAATAGAAGACAATATTCTAATAGGAAAAGAAATACCAATAAATAGAGAATCTGTTAATATATCCGAAGTGCTACTTAAAACGTTGAAGAGCAAACCAAACTGCATTGGCCAGGTATTTTAACAAACATAATTTCCACTAAATCTATTGAAACAATTAGATCGCTAATTTCTAGAGTGTGTAAAACTTTGCGTAAACAAGCATTTAAACATGCAGTTCAAAACCTTTTGTTCTATAGGTGGATGCACTTTCTGGTGAACAGGACACTTACGCCGATATGAGTGAGCGCAGCATTAAATGCGCCCTTTGGCTACAGAAGCAAGGCGTTAAGCCCGGCGATATAATTGGTCTTTGCTGTGATAATGACATGAACGCAATCATAATTATGTTGGGCACAATGTACATAGGTGCTATATCTAATCCTTGGGATAATGATTTATCTTCAAGTATGTATTTCCTGTATGTATTCTATTTCATTGTAGGCATAATCTATGCTATAAAAATCTATGCTATAAAAATGCTATAAAATCATAAGAATCGTAAGAATAAGTTAAGAAAAATTCAAAGATTATCAAGCAATGGATGCGATTATTATTAATAATACAATTGATTATATTTGCATAGTTAAAACATTTATATTTGTTCCAAAAAATGATTATAAATTATAATTAAATTGGTGATGGCAATTACTTTTTCTCTCAGTGAAATGTATGTTTTGTATGATCAATGTAATAAGATTATGCGTTTCGCGGGTTTCTTCCATGTCCAGATCCATTCTTGAAATGCCAACGTTTCGTGAACCTTGCAGTTCATTTCATCAGGGCGAGGAGCAGCCTGATGAAGTGAATTGCAAGGTTCACGAAACAATGGATCTGGACACGGAAGAAACTCGCGAAACGCATAATCTTTATATAGAAAGGACTTGTGGAAGTCTCAAGAATATTATCAATGTAATAAATTTAATTTAATAATTTAATACTGAATTGTTCGTTTAAGATTTATGAGCTATACAAGTAAACCTTACACACATTATTCCCACTATATCCATTTAATTCTATTCATTTACATTTGTTTAGTGACAGCACGATATTTTCTTTCGTTAACATCACCAAAAATAATTTTTGCAATGCCGTCATTGGTTCCGATTTTAGAAGAAGCAATGAAAGAGTTACAAATGAATATGAAAATAGTAGTTTCCCATAAATTAAATGGATACACATCCGTGGAGGATATCTTGAATGGTCACGATATGAATGAGATCATTGAATTTAAATGTGCCAAGATCAGCAGCCCCGACGATGTTGCTCTCATCTCTCTCTCATCAGGTACTACGGGCATGCCGAAGGGTACCGAGATATCGCATTCATCTTTATATAATTGCTTACTTCCCGTAAAAGTCACGGAATTAGAAAATCATACTTGTCTGTGGACACACACATTGCGTTGGCATTACGGGGTCCAATTGGCATTTCATGCAATCTTAGCGTATTCGACAAAAATTCTTGCACCCTGTAGTATAATACTTAATGACGATGATGAAGCAATATGCCGGTTTATCGAAAAATATCGAGTAAGCTCTAATGATTCCACAATCTGTTATAAAACTAAGTTTGTAAATAATAATTAAATAGAGATTAATCTTGCACTTTAACTTTAAGGTAACATGGTTTTCCACCGAACCAGGCATGCTAATTCGATTTTATAAGAGCGATTTACTGGAGAAATATAAATTGTTGACTTTAAAAGAAATAATGAGTACTGGTGCTAATTTAGGAAAGAAGCATTGTCTAGCTTTGGCAAAGAAATTATCTCATGCTTTCATTACGACTGGTTATGGTATAAGTCAATTTGATTTAAAAGTATCATACGACACTAAATATTTCATATCATTCTTTTTCATTTCTCTTGAACTTATTACTATTATAGTAATATTATATATCTTTTATATTAATATCAATTTAATGTATTAATATTATCTTCTATTATTTCAAAGCAACAATTAAAAATAAGTTTTAAATCATCAA